CAGGTATAAGTACGCACCTACCAGTTAAGTGCGCACAAACCGTACCGGATCAATTGGCATATTTAAGCGGGAGTCTACTGTATTTCTTTGTAGTAAAGCCCAGCCTATGGAGATGGCAGAGGCGTTCACTTGCGACATGAAATGACCAATTCAGGCTTGATAGCTTTAGAATTACGTCATGCACTGAGTTCTTCTTACTGTCTTAAAGGCTCCTCTTCTATCTCAACACTATTTGACACCCTTTAACGGATATCGGGAAAAGTCGTGCCATACCGGAGTAGCTTGCATTATGATTGTACAGGCCGTTAGCTAAGCCTAAACATTTTCTAAGATCCCGTAGTTACAGATGCATTTTTCAATTCAAATAGCTCCAATCGTCGCGAGATCTGCCCACACTAATGCTTCTTGATAAAGCAGCTCAGAATTTTGCCAAAGACACACCTATCCGTAATGGAGAAAGACTTGTTTACGCGCGTATACAGAAGCACTTACGCAAGTATATATAAAAATATATAAATATCCACGGCCGAATTTCAGAACTCTGCACGACTTCGGGCAAACATATTATCAAAAACGGCTTGTTCAGAGCCACGATGCGACCAAAAAGCTCTGTCACCCGACGATTGAACGTATCTTGTGCATTAGACAGTCCTTGTAGCATCACCAGCTATGCGTTTTAGCGCTTCCAGACGTGCTACATCAAATTTGATGAAACCGGACGCTTCAGATTGACGCAGCGGCAATGACTACTACCGAAGCATCTCGATCTGTGTGCTCACAGCAGGGAGAGAAATGTCGCTATAAAATTTGTCAGTTAGCCTAAGGGCCCCTAACAAAGTACAGCAGACTATGCAATTATGGCGCTTGTTATAAGTATGCACGATTTGCCACGTGCCTTTCGCTTTTCTTACACAAACGTCGGCGCCAAGCGAGACGATTTACGCTCTCTCACTAGAACCATTTCGCTCATCGCGCGGAGCAGGCATCATAATATTCCCGAAGAAAGGACTTACGAAGTGCTACACAATATTTGGTTTCGTAATCTAAGTTACTTTCATGACGCACTCCACCCCCGAGACATCACGCGTGACGGATCTTAAATCCTAATTTCGTTGTGACATTCCTTCAATCATGACTTGAGACATTGATATGATTTCTGAGGAAGTTGTCCTACCCTCGCTCTTCATGTTCTACGTTTGTCTTAATTGCCATATCCATCTATGTCGAATGGTAATCTCAGTTATTTCCTCGGTACCAACCGTACCATTTTGGTGAATTTTCCGCCTTGCAATTCGTTGCACATAGACTCACAGCACATAAGAACGACCCCTGTCACTTCGTTAGCCAGAGCATCAATTATGTATCTAGCTACGTAAACAAGGAGCTTCACTGGACACATGGTGTTCCCGCCAGACGGTATTGCTGACTCAGCTATAAATTTCGTGACAAGAGAGCTATCGCGGTTTACGTCAGGGTTCGGCCATTCTACTTGCTACTTGCAATCGCTTTATAGCTCCATCGACCCTGACGCTGACACCCAATACGTAACATACAGTCATTCGTCCCCGTCCTATCACCGATACACTCTAGAGTACAAGAAATACGATCGCTTCCCTCCGTCTCATCTTGAGACTGTGGCTCACCGTTACTTCTGCCATCTGAACTATGCTCAAGGCACTTAGCAGTGTCTATCTTCGGAATGATTCAAACACTACTATGTCTTGCACAGAAGCTATTGCAGCATCGTGCCGGCTTCATAAGCTATTCTGTTCCCTGACAGAGATGTGCTCATGCTTAAAGCTTCACTGGAGATGTTTAAAGCACCAAGCTCCTTCATCTCTTTGTTGTGCCATTGTTCGTGTAATTTCAGCTACCCTACAACTAGACGATCATATCTCAAATTGAGGTCAGAAACAAGACAGCATCTCACCCTGTCAGATTCCTTAAGCTTCGCTTAGATGTTTATCAGAGCCTTCAATCTTTCACTTGTATCCCGTCGCAAGCCACAATTAAATTGTGTTCATTCTCAATGCCTCCATTAACTATTTACTGCGGTTGTCAGTCGTGCGTCATACTTACGTTACGACGCTCCTGAATCTTCTAGACCTCCGACGGTTTCACCAAGCCCAAAACGTTGATATCAAAAGACAGCAAATCTCCCATTACAGTTAGAGAGTTGCACCCCTAAGTTATGGCTACCATTGGTCACGACCCCAGCGAGGTGCAATTGAACCAAGAGGTTTACAATGAAGCCGCTCTTTGCCTACCGAGACTCGACCTCTCACCGCGTAAGGTAGGTCGGACGACCATGCGTGACAGACCGCCATTCATACCCATTGGACACAAAAAAGCAGGTGTTTTGAACTATCACGATTTAGATACCTGCGAGTGCAGTAGAGTTGATCGCCAAGTGATCGTTTATTTCTCCTCAGCATTACTGGGTATATAGTTTTTGGTGGCTTGGTGGGCTCATAGATCTTCAGTTGTTCCCTGTTCCTCGTCCGGCCCTCGCGGCACAGAAAGTGTTATCCGTATTTAACGCGATAGACACCACCTTTGCGGGAAGGCAGAATGGACGTGATTGATCTCGGTGTGAGACACTCCCATCTGGATTCCATTCATGAAGGTAGCCGTCACCGCCTCCGGGAGAAGGTTCGATGTCATGGTGGTGATGAGAGTTTCGTATTCCTAGACATCACCGCGAGGTCTTGCCTCTTGTGGTGAGTGGCAACCCCTTCGAACGCACTCGATATACCTGTTTAGGTTTTGCAGCGTCTGTCGCTCTAAACCTCCCATGTCGGAAAGTCCTCATCGACAGAGATATTGTTCTAAGTGCGCTTTGGAGTCAATTTTGTTAGGCGCAAAACAATTATTCTCACACTTGGAGTAAAGTGCAGAAGCTCGGCGCAGTGTATTCTGTCGAATCATTGCTATCCCAACTCCTCTCACCCAGCAAAAGATTTCATCCACTCCGTTTTCACAAGGCTTGACGCTCATCTTCATCAGCCTCACGTTGGACGTCATTTGTGCTTTAACTGGTGTTACAGATACTGTCTCGGTAGCGCATTTTCAGTGTTGGTGAATGCCTTCAAGCTACCGCTTCTGGTCCATTGCTGACCCTTTTAAGTGCAGCAAGAAACATATGTGTTCCAAGCGTGTCCAGTCGACCCAAAAAAAACAGATTGAACAGTTCGTCTTGCATCCTCACAGAGGATATAAACTATTAACGACTCGGTCGTGGGACTGACTGCATTATTGTGCATCTGGCACCGAAAACCTTTGGCCCAAAGAAATGTTATTTACAACACACAGAGTTTGTATGCCCATCCAGGAGCGAACTCGACAGAAAAGGTATCTAGCTTTTTTTAACTTTTTCAAAAAAATACTTTACGTGTAGGATAATACCCATTTCAGGTTTTCTAATAATCAATAGATAACAATATGTAACGCTTGTCGTGAGACTACGCGACAAAAGGACCTTTCCATTACGGGACCCATCATCTTCATTTGGCTAATCTGCTTACAAAGCAGTGTAAATGTGTATTACGTCAAATATTCAAAGTGCATACAAGTATTCCCTTGTATCAACTTATCTGATGGTATTATCAACAGTGGAATGCGGCGACTCCCGATACACAATTCTGGTTTATTTCTGGTATGACGTTAGAGCCTTAGGGCTCAAAGGCACACAGTTACAGTAGATGACTTTCCAGCTTACACGGCAGATTATAATACTGAGAAACCATCGTTATGAAGCAATTAAAGTCAGGAGTGATTGGGTATTGTAACGTCGTCAAAAAGGAGATAATTTTTGAAATCAGGAGTCTCGATTTGTAGATATGAATCAAACGATTGATCTCTTATCCACAATAGGTAAACGATGCAAGATCAAACGCAGACATGTTATAAACCTTCCCGAATGACCAAAGATACCGTCATATTTACAGAAATTATGCACAAAGCCTTTCGCTTTGTTTCAAGATCAATTACATTTCGAGACTTTATACTAACTCAACTAGAATCATCTTCATTCGGAGACTAAGTGCTGGGAAGGACACCTGATGAATTTGGCCTGGCCAATTCGTCATTTTACTGGTAGCAAGCTGCCTTAATATAAAAGTACAAAAGAGATCTTAACAGCACATATGTTGTAGCTGTCTTTTGTTAATCGAAAAAATTTCAAATTGAGATAATTCTATTGATTGACAAATTACATCAATTTGTCGTAAGGACACATATTTTTTTATTACAAAATTCACGCATTGCAGATACTTGAAACAGTATTTCTCAAATTGACAAGGTAATCATTTGATAATAAATGTTATGTTTACATCATAAACAGGATAGAAATCTAAAGAAGCGACAGAGCGCGGCTTCGTTAGATAGCAAAGAGCTATTCCATAGGTGATGACCATTGAGTGAAACGGATATCGGAGTGTACCGCATAATCTTTAAAGTGTCGATATGCATATTTCGCTTTGCCATACAAAATGCTTACTCTGCAGTATTAGCAGCATCAGTAACACGACGCTGGTGTTGTCAGCGAACTGTAATTGGCAGTGGCGCTGCCGATCAGATTGTTTAAGCTACTAGTCGGTATTGCCTCAGCAGACTGGCCAGAACTCAAGTTCTATTGACGCTGGTAGCCGAGCGGAGGGTTACGATCAGCGTTGACACACATTGCAGCCAGTTGGCACAGAATAAGATAATCCTACAGACACCCGAAAAAAAATAGTCAACAAGAGGGTTGGTTGGACTAAGGAAGTAATATCCACAAAGAAATTATTTTTGGGTCATGTCTCTAGTCAGGCTACATCATTTAGTTAAAGCTGCACTTGTGCCAGCGCTCAACCTACCGTTAGTCTCGATTGTCAACGAATTAGCGCGAAAATTCAAGTTGATATTGTTATAGATTCAATAGACAATGCTCAGACTCAACCCTTATGCCTTGTCTTGCTTCCTTTCGCAACATGAATGTTGTGATAGACGATACAAAGTGGCGACAGTGTAAATGTTTTGTATTGTATCAATGTTCGGACTGCGTTACGCTACAACTGTCATGAAATTGCCTTCAGCAATACATAATTTATGCAGTGTGACACAGATCAGACGCGGTGAACTAAAGCTTGCTCTGCATTTTTTTCATCGTCCCCTCCCTGGTCGACCAGCACTCATATTTATTTTGGCACCTACCGATTAAAACCATGCCAGCTAAATTCTGTTCATACTTCGAGCGTACTGGCAAATGTCGATTTGGAGAGTTTTGTAAGTTTGCTCATTCAAGAGATTGCGATACATCTGCATGCTCAAATAGGGTCGTTGCTCCGGGATCTTCCGCTAACAATCCTATCGTCTATAAGCCGTTTTCATTGGGGACGCTACAGGTGGAATTAGCAAGTAAATTAACGTCAGGTTCTCTCTTTTCAAGTCATTCCGATGCTTTGGTGGTTTTCTGGCCTGGTCAAGACCGTTTGGAAGTCTTGTGGAAAGGTTTTTTGATGCCATCTGATCTCGCCAATGTGTGGCAGATTAATAGCCAGACACAGGCGCTAAACTTTATCAATTCTGGATTACATGCGCTTCTTAAGGACAATCTAGCTCCACAATTCGTGAGAGAGCTTGGGAAAACGGAAGGACGTGGAGTTGTCGTGATTCAGGAGCTTTTGGATCTCAAATATGATGTCGATGCTGGTAGACGACGCACTGTCGTGTCATTTCAAAGAGGATTTGTGCCTTTCGTGACAATGTTGACTATGCGACGCTTTGAAATGGTTAGCCAGCATATGGATGAAGCGAATTACGTTTACGCCTACTTGCGAACAATTCATGTGCAGCTTTTTCGATTGTTTCTCGACCACTTACAAGAAATTGTAGATCGTCATAGCATCGAAGACAACGAGATGTCGCATGCGACTTTCTTACACGAGACAGATGGTCGAAAATACGCTCCTCTATGCTTTACGCAAGTTTGTCTTCCTTTTATTCGATTACTCTACTTGCTAGGCAACAAGTTTAAGGATTTTATCTATGAAGACACTTTTCATACAACAGTCACTTTCTTGGACGCACTGACGTCCGCGTGGATCGAAGAATGTCAAAAAAGTGATTTGTCAATTGACTCGAACCTGTGTTTCAAAATGATGAAAGAAGAAATTAAGCGACTGCATCAGATGATTCGACGGGGAGAGCATGGCCTTCGAGTTGGTTCAAAGCTGAAAAAAGAGAAATTGGAGCGAGATTGGGACGAGGCGCAACCTTGGGACGTTATTGAAGTGGAGATGCCCGGAGAAAAGGTGCATGAAGACGGCACCGTTGGTCCTCGACATGACAATGATCATTGCGACATTCGAGATATCCAACTGCTTCCAACAACAGAAGAGTGTTTGACACGCGAACCTCCATTATTACCCGGAAACTATCCCTTTCATGAAAACGCGCATTGGTTACCACCTGGACCCGAGCGCTGGGTGGACACCCACTTTCGACTGTATCGAGAAGATTTTTGTGGTATCATTCGGACTTGCTTACAAGACCTTAAATACCGTCTCATGGAAGGCGATGAAAAACTTGCTCAAGGTCGCCTTCGAGAAGCGGACGTGGATTACAATATCTATCCAATTCTAAACACTTCTATGCCGCTTAAACATACAAATAGTCGAAGCGAGCGAGAAAGCGGTCGCCGAATTGAGCGTCATGGACTTTGCATTAATGTGCAATTTCAACAGCCGTCCACCGCAGAAATGATTGGAAAGAAGCTTAAAGGTCAAAACAAAAGTCGAAAAGAGCTTTGGGAAAAGACGGGTCGACTCCCTTATAATGGAATGGTAGCACTTGTCGCGTACATCGATGGAAGTTTGGAAGTCATTTTTTGCCAGATTGTCTCCCGTGAGATTGATAACTTAGTGAAGGATATTGCCGAAATAACATTGAAGCCTTTTGAGGTTCAGGATTTCACCCTTTTCGAGTTGTGGCAACACTCGTCTTCTATAAGACCCCAGTGCCGTATTTTGCTTTTGGAATTTAATAAGATTTTCTACATCGCCTATGAACCAGTTTTGCGTGCGCTACAGACATTGGAACCATCGATTTTACCATTTCTCGAGTACTTAGCCCCCGAGACGGCACCGAGACAGGGAGCAATTGATATGGAAGCTCCACTTTACTGTTTGACCGATAACTTTACATTTGACCTCAGCTCGGTAATTCGCACGTATCCTAATTTGGCGGTTGATCGTCCGCAGTCACTACACTTGAAACCTCTAGAGCAAAATTCTCGTGATACTTGTGAGGCTGCGCTAGTTCGCTACTCGGCATTAGAACGTGACCAGGCAAAGGCACTGGTGGAAGCGCTAAGCAGTCGCGTCGCGTGTATTCAAGGCCTACCTGGTACTGGAAAATCATATATTGGATCCATGCTAACAAACATCATCATCGAAGCCAAGATTTCGCCGGTGTTGGTTGTGTGCTATACGAATCATGCTCTGGATCAATTTTTGTGTCATCTATTGGACATTGGGATTACGAATCTTGTGCGTATTGGAGGACAGTGCAAGGAGCCACGTTTGGAAAAGTACAATCTCAATAACTTGCCTCGAAACTATCAGCGATACGAACTGAAACGTCTATACGATACACTTGATCAAAATGCTGACGCTATTGCTACCGCGCTGCGAGCCCTCGAGTCACAGACTCGACGCCCAACGTGGAAAACATTGAAATGGTTTCTCGAGACCCATTATCCAGATATCTATGACTCGTTTGCAGAGCGCAATTCCGAGCTGTACGAAGATGGCTGGGAAGTTGCGGGATACGATGATATACTGGACTATTGGATTCAAGGGGAAGACTTGAACTTCCTTAGACGCCAGACCCTTTCCAACGAGTGGACGCGAAATTCAAATGTATGGATGTGGAGCCTGGCAGCACGTCGTGATGCACTTGCGGAATGGACCGTAGCGCTACGAAGTGGTTTAGTTGAAGAGCTAATCAAAGCCCAGAAGTCATACATGGAGACAATGACAAAGATTCAAACGGTCCGACATCAAGCAGATGTAGGCGTGCTCCAACATGTCCGGATCATCGGGATGACGACAACCGGAGTTGCAAAAAATCAAGAGAAGATCGCATCTGTTGCACCTCCAGTGGTGATTTGCGAAGAAGCGGGCGAAGTTTTAGAAGCGCAGCTGATCACTTGCCTGTCACCGTCCTGTCAGCAGCTTGTGTTGATTGGGGATCACCAACAATTGCGTCCACATGTTGCAGACCACAATCTAAGCGTGGATAGCTCGATTGGCAAGCGGTTTGCGCTCGACATATCTCTTTTTGAACGTTTGGTTGCGCCATCATCAGGTTTGCCGTTCTGGATGCTGACAGAGCAACACCGCATGCGTCCGCAAATTTCACAGCTAATTCGCATGCTTTTTTATCCAAAGCTGCGTGATGCACAAGAAACATTAAACTATCCAGGTCTCCGTGGTGTGAAAAAAGACGTTTACTTTGTGAGTCACAATCACCCAGAGGACGGTGCGTTTGTGGTCTTAGGTGCATCGTCCCGCTCTCACTCGAATACATACGAAGTTGCGTATATCGTCGCAGCTCTGAAGTACCTTTTGCAGCAGGGATACCACTCCAGTGACATCGCGATACTAACGCCATACGTTGGTCAGCTAATGAAGTTGCGATCTGCATTAAAGGGGCAATACGTTCTTGAGTTGAATGAGCGCGACGTGGAGGAGATACAGCGCACTTATGATGAAGTGGACGATGACCAGGACGAAGAAACTGATCTTTTACCGCTTGAAGCAATCAAGAAGGAGTTGTCAGGTGCCATTCGTGCGGCTACAATTGACAACTTTCAAGGAGAAGAAGCTACTGTCATTTTGGTAAGTTTGGTCCGTAGCACAAAGGACGCACACGGTAGTGGGACGATTGGATTTTTGAAAACGCCAAACCGAATAAATGTTCTTCTATCCCGAGCAAAACATGGACTGATTCTCGTTGGACAGGGCGAGTTGCTACGTGCAAAGTCTCCATTGTGGCAGCAAATCCTCGATCAACTGCATAGTGATGGCTCCTTTGGTGATGGATTGCCATTGTACTGTCAGCAACATCCCGAGTACCAACGTGTCGCGAAGTCTCCAGACTCGTTTGCGTTGCTAGCACCAGATGGCGGCTGTCTTCAGCCGTGTGGCACTAGATTGCCGAATTGTGGCCATATCTGTCCAAAGTTGTGCCACATCGATCAACAATCTCACAGAACAGTATTTTGTACACAGCCCTGTCCACGATTACAAGAAGGTTGTGGTCATGTTTGTCCTGATATCTGCGGCAATGCATGTGGCCGATGCGAAGTGCTTGTTGGCGCAATTGTCCTGCCTTGTGGTCATACATACAACAATGCAAGGTGTTTTGAGGCTAAGATGCCGTCAAAGCTATTGTGCAAGGCACTAGTTGATAAGGTTAATCCTGTGTGCGGTCACACGCAACGCGTCGCATGTAGCACCAAAAAGATGCAATGCAGTCGAATATGCGGAAAAGCGCTTTCTTGTGGCCATGCGTGCGTTCGCAAATGTAGCGAGTGCATTGAAAAGACTCTCGATGCGAGCATGGGAGATCAAGAGTTAAAATTTCCTATCGATCCTACGGAACACGGCGCATGTCAAAAAAAATGTGAGCGGAAGTTACCGTGTTGCCATTGTTGTCAAAAAGTTTGCCATAGCGACTCACCGTGTCCTCCGTGTCAACACACATGTGATGTTTTCAGCTGTAAGCATGGGTCGTGCAAGCACGTGTGCAGTAATCCTTGCGCTGCTTGTACTGAACAATGCAGCTGGAGTTGTATACATTGTGGGGATTGCTCTTTACCTTGTGGGGCTCCTTGTATTCGACGCCTGTGTGACCAAAGATGTTTAAAGAACCTAAAATGTGGCCACCAGTGTCCGAGCGTATGTGGCGAAGACTGCCCGACTCCAAAGTTTTGCCACGAATGTGGTGATAATACGATAAGACAACGAAATGCAGATCTAATTCTTTTCCAGACATATGAAGAGATCAATCCAGATGAAGACCCAATCTTTGTCCTACCGTGCTGCTCAATGGTCTACACGATGGCGACCTTAGATGGCACTCTGCACTTGAGTACATTTTTTGATAGCAATGGAATTCCGCTTGGCCCTCTTCCTGAGGGATATCTCGATCCTCCTCGGTGCCCAAACTGCCAGAAACCCATTCGAAATCTCCGTCGGTATGGTCGAATCACGAAGCGAGCGGCTATTGACGCCGCAGAAAAGAATTTTATTCTGCACTCGCACCATCTATTGATGACACTACAAGAGCGTACAAACAAAGTGGTGGAGATCGGTGATCTCAGAAGTGATAGAACATTGCGGCATGACCTTCGTATGTTTGGAGCAAATGTGAAAAGACCGCCCTGTCAAAAAATATATGAGGCTTGTGTTGCGCTATTAACAAAAGCGAAGGGTGGGCAAGGTGGTGGCGATGTGGTCATTGACCAAAGTGCCGTCCCTGTTCCCGACTCAAAGTTTAAATTTCTCGGATATTTTAATCTTCTCTCTGCTCAACTTTCAAACTTAGGTTCTGGCGAAGTAAAAGCTAAAGCTTTACAGTATGCTCAAGATGCAATCGATGAGTTTGAAAAAGGGTCGCATGGAAAGCAAGCAGGAGAGGCACGACTGATTAAGGTGCAAATATTGATTGCGAATGCAGAAGAAAAACTTAAAGAGTCTGTTGAAATCAAGAAACATAAAAAACGCACGGAAGAAATTGAGCGGCTTGCGTACGACATGAATGTCGAGATCAAGCGATTAAAAACGGGTTCGATGTCTTTTTTGGCTGAACATGAACACGATATCAAAAACCTGGAACAACATTTGGAGCTTATTGTTTGCCGTGCTAGGAATGCTACGTTCTATCAAGAAGTATCAGTTTCTGAAATGAAAGCAATTAAGACTGCTATGCAAGCGGAATTTCGCGGATCAGGTCACTGGTATCGTTGCGAAAATGGTCACCCGTACTCGATCGGCGAGTGTGGAATGGCAATGGAAGCAACGCGGTGCCCTGATTGTGGAGTGCCAGTGGGAGGTCAGAATCACATGTTAGTACGAGGATCTCAATTTGATACGCATATGGACTCGTTGTAAATTGATATCTAGGATCGTATGTTAAACCAAGCGTTAAGGAACGTACAACATTTCCCTCTTACACAAATATTGCTGCATGCGAAAGACGAGCTCATAGTCTTGATATTGTATTTATTTTACGTGCACATTACACTTTTGTACAGCTGACGAGCTTTCGATTTAATACAGGTTGCTCGCGGGCACCAAAGTATGATACGATCTAGCCTCATGTCGTGCTATAAACATATACTCTAAATATATGAAATTGGTTTAAATAGGCTTATTTCTGAAATGTGATTCTTCAAAATCAAACAAGAGTAAGGAAAAGCAGTGATTAGCTTAAGAGGCTCTCGGCTTCGCTTCCGGTTGGAGCGTACAAAAATTTAACCTGTGCGCTGCCGACGCGGACTCTTCAAGTTAGTGATTTCTATATACACGTTGCACGGCAACCCCGTTGCATTCGGAAGCACTAGAAGTCAACCCGACGTCCGAGCAGTGACGGACTGTATTTTCTGTAAGGGCGGAACACGAGTTGTCCGACCATCTGATCTCAATACAATCAAGCACACTAAATACCTTAATGTCTTTAATTAGTCGCGAGGTGATAGATAGCCATTTTTTGCGTCCAAAGAATCGAAAGCGATAATCGCTTGCCTGGATGCGATCCCCAGCTATCTGAATGCGATCACCTTCAGAAAGCGTAATCAAGCTTAGGTAGAAGCACGAATGGCACCTAACGCGTGACTGCTAGGTTTGAGTGTTCAGTTTTGTGAGGTCAGTGTGACAGATCAAATCTATGCCGAGAGAAGCTGAGACGGCTATCAGTTTAGCAGTGCTTCAGACAAAGCAATAGCGCACCAGGCATGTGAGTTTTATTTTAGAATTCCAGGCGGGGAAATAGACACCTGCGTGCAGTTCATCTGTAGAAGAGGCATTTGCGATTTGGAAAGTTTTAGAGCAAGCTATCTTGCACGTGTTCGCACTGTGTAATCGGGTGTACCGGGTATTCACGTCAACCCGTCAGGCGAGGCAGAAATTAGCAGGCTATGGCCAGGAATCGCGGACTTTATCGCCATGGTAGACGTTCTTTGGAGACAGTCAAAGCTACCATCTTAACGCTTATATCAGGTGCAGCTTGCTTAGAGACATCTTGCACGCGTGTCTTGCGCCATGAACACTAGTGAAGAAAAACAAAGGTTCTTTTGAGCTTTTCTGCTTACTAAGAAGACTTTGAGGACAGTATTATAGATCTGGACTTGAATTTGAGTTTTTCTGGGTAGAGGTTAACTGGATTGCCATAATCTGTGGAATAAAAAAGAGTGAGGTACCACGCCCTTTTCTTCTGGTGTAGCTTTGGTGATTCATGACCCACGTCTTTCATAACGAATACGGCTTTTTGGTGTGGAGTGGAGCTACAATAAGTTTGATGCAAGATCTGCAATTGTCCGAATAACTCAGCAAGTATATTGCTTAGTTTATGGTACAGAGCCCAGAAAGCAGATGCGACAATGAAAGTGACCTCAGGATGAGAGGTAAGATGCGATGGTTTATGCTTGTGTTTCTGGTGCGGCAAGAAGGCATGACGGTTTGTCGTGGTTCCAAGAGTGTATCGCTTGTGGGACGATAAATTGCAGCTGTTAGCTGGTGCCTCCTGTCCTCGAGCTGGTAAAGAACAAGGGCGACGACTGTGTGTGATGTATTTCTAGTGCCAGAGCCGGCGCTGTTTCAAAGCTACTATAAGCCAGAAAGGCAGGCCTTTAGGGCATTGAAAATAGTTATCTTTATCTTTTTCACGTTGTAATATTACTGATGAGTCACCTTACCTCGGATAGCTTCCATCTCGTGAAGCAATGAGACTCCACGGTTCCGTGACTTCAAAAAAAGTACGGAGTGACGGGGGGTGAAAAGGATCCCTTTGACACCTCCGGCACAAGCTCTCATTAATTTTCTTTTGGGGGTATTTTCAAAGAAATAGAAAACATTAAGCCATGAAAGACAAAACACTCGCAAAGAACTGGGCGCGAATATGCAGAAAAATGTGCGGTTCCTTTTATCATTTGTTAAAAGTGATAACAAGAAACCAATCACGCATGTTATTTCTTACTGAAGGGGTGCTTCCAAAAATAGATCGATTTCATCAACCAATTACTGCAGCTCAGGAACATTTTGCGAGGTCATTGATTTTTTCCGTGCATAACATGAATCGGGTATAATGAGGTTGAGCAGTTCGTTGAACTCGTGCTGGACAATCTGCGTTAGAAAAGAATAAAGGCAAGAGAAGAAATATGTGCAGCAAAATGTGAATGCATCCGTGACTCCGACGAAAACGCTATTTGATCTGTCGAGCAGCACGACCGGTCGCACTATGCTCAGGTTTCTTGACCTAGTTGATTATGATTATTAAATGCTCTTGGTATTAAGTGATATACATCTTACAGCGATGAGTACTCCGAGTTGTATATTTTGTATTTGGCTGGTCATATCACAGGCACTGTCACATAATGACTATGCAGAAACGTTCTTAGATGATATATTTATTTATAATCGTGCAGGACACGGGGAGTCGGATGTGTAGAATCACATCAAATTTGCCAGTAGTGCTCAAAGATGATGCTAGCAAACGTAAACATGGGTGTCGTTGGCGCTGGTGAAAGTTCCTTTATAAGACGCGTTGTTTGGAAAAAGCATGCAAGCGAATCCTGTGGGATTAAGGCCGTCGTAGGCTGAACGCTTTGTCAAAGAAAATAAGGTAGTAAATTGGCAAGGTAAAGTATACGCAGATACGCCACAATCTCGCCGGCATTGCGCGGGTACCAAATCTTTGCAGCCTATTTCAAACAATGCTAGTCGAGGCAGAATGCTGCGGGCTGCCGTAGCCCTTTGCTTAGAGAAAGCTAAACTAAGGTCGACTACCTTACGTTCTCTACAAGAACCAGTACAAACGTAGCGAATTGCAATCCGCTACCACCGAGAGTACGTAAAACCTTAACAAAGGTAAACAGGCCATTTCGTTCAAGATGTAAACCGTATTTAATTGTTTTAATTGCGGCAGAGCCGCAAATGTCTGAAGCCTTAGGTTTTTTTAAATCAATACAGTAATACAAATTTTATATAGTAAAACCTAATTAATATGCATAACTAGTGGCAGTCCCGCCATGTAGTGGCTTCTTGTTACGGGGTAGCCACACATTTTTTGTAAATACACCACCTTGTGTAAATATTTGTACGGTCACACAGACTTATGTGACTCACCCCTTCATACAAGGATACGTGTAACCCCGTTTCACTCTCCTCCATCAAAATCATGAATACCCAACCCTCGGCAACCGAGATTCGTACAACACGCCCATCACGGGCGACGAATTTCTTCGTCGAGGATTTAGAGGAAGTCGACTACGAGTCGGATACTTTTTATCTAGCATGGGGAGACGAGGAAGATGAGGTGCGCCAACGGCGCAACGTGCATCAAGCTCAAACCTTGCGGATACTATGTCCGCTCCCCGACCTCTCGACTTCCGGGGAAAGTGGTATTGTTATCAATTGCCTCGACGAGGCACAGGAAAAGCAGTTGGAGGCTGCCAACAGGCCGGCTCTCATGCCCTCGTATCCACGTTCGGTCTTAGACCCTCATGTGAAATACGGCTTTCGCTCGGCGGATCCCGCTACTGTAGCGAAAGACGCGATCTCTTGATCGAAGGGCTTCTACGTAGTCGAGCCCCCGGCCACGACACAAGCTGAGCTTGACCAGCGAAAAGCTCTCCGAGCTTGCTTCTTGGTACCTCAAGAGATCCGTCGGATAGGTACCGCGCATGACTTCAAATTCAAAGAGAAGGCGCTCCTGTACCCGCAATGCGGACAATTTATGTGTGTTCGCCTCTGGCGAATTCACTGCAGATGAGAGCTTCTTGGGCGATGGATTGGAAACTTTCTTCGCTGTCTACCTTACAGCGCAGCCACAAGGAAGTGGACGTGCGCGTAGAGCGCCATCTTAGATTTGAGTTTGCCAAATTCAAGACGCAACACCGACTTACTGCGTATTATTCCCCTGCGATGCTTGGAATCATCTGTCACGCTCCCGCGAGCTCTGTGATTTCTCACACGGGTAAGTCTACGACCACAGCAGCTCAAGGCTATAACTTGAGCTCAGCTCATGGCTTCTCGGGCTACTAACAAGAAGCGCGGGGAGCACGACGACGAGAAGTGTCATGATTCTTCTGATTATAAGCGTTCACGACGTCTGCGTAATCTTGCCGAAGTGGCACCTCAAACTTCCACGAGCTCTCGAAGTCGAGGTATCCCCGCCATCACAAGATATTAGGTTTAACCCCGTCGACGACGTCGACCCACAAGGCGTTCCACGTGGTAGTGGATGCCACCATTCTCATCGAGAAGAGTCGGCGGCGGCCGATGACGACTTGATCGATCGCTGTTCGCTGACTCGCGATGCTCTTCGAGCTCTGGAGGTAAAAGTCCGTCGTCATTGGCATTCTGCCGAGCATCTTTCCGAGACCGCATACTGCTGTCCGTAAGACCTCGAGTATCTGAATCTCTTGGTGCCACCGACTGTCTCACGTTGAGAATCTTCGCGCTCTGTCGGAGGGTTTCTACCGTCGAGCAGTCGAATACGTCAAATCTTGCGACGGTGGAGCACCTTGCGCCGGTGGAAACGAAGATCGTTGCACTCTGTGGTTAGAACCAGTTGCTGGTTTAGCTTCTGGGTGGTCGGGCGTCTGTGGTTACCGCTCCGGCGCCAACGCTTCTGTCTTCAATTGCGCTGGATCCCGGTACAGCCTGAGCAAACCCACATAAAACACCGGGTGGGTTTGCATTCTCACGGAAGGTTAAGCGTATACGCAAGGCCTCGCTTATCCACGACCTTAAACGGTCCAATAATTCGTGGACGGATCTTTGTCTTAAAGACAGCCGAAACTGCATGTGTAGAAAGGATTTTAGCATTTAATAAAACCAGGGCGCTGACTTCAACGGTTTTCACATTTCTTCTGCTTTTTCCATCTGCATATTCTTTCTGCATATCTTGGCTTTCAGCCATCGCATCGCGAACGTGTCGTAGGATACTCAGTTTGGTTGACAGGAA